TTGAGACAAAGAGTGAGAGAGGCACAAGAGAAAATGAGTTTCCACATGCAAAGGTAAAGAGAGCCATGGTGGGAAACAAGAAGAAAGTTTGATGGGCTCGAAAGCATCGTCAGTATCCAAGCATGGGGATGCCATGATAAGTTTGCAAGAAATCCTTGAGGCGACAAAAAAACACCAAGAGGAGTTTGATCTCGAGGTTTAGAAGCTCAAATCTGGAGCTCAAGGAATGTTCGAGCGAGGCATTATGTTCACTCATGAAGACGAGTAGAGTCTTGACAGGGAACAAGAAGAGGGACTAACAATAGACGAGAAATGAGCTTATTTGATGGAAGATTTTGTTTTCCACGCGGAGAGGCTCATCAAGTTGGAGGAGATATCAACTTCGTGGGAAAGGAGGGTCATCAAACTTGAAAAAGCTGAGAAATATGTCAAGGAAACCCAGGGTGTTGTGAAGTTCCGCCTTAATAAATTGGATATCTTAAATTTAAATAATTCTATTTACAAAATATAAATATATTATCGATATATTAAAATTATAAACATATAGTATTTTATAATTAAAAAAGTTTAAAAAGTTACACAACAAATTCAGTGTTACCCAATTGGTTGGGGGGTTTAAACACTTTCCCATGGGACGTCTAATCAGCCGGACTAAGGCTACATATCTCTTAATAATTTATTCATATATTGAATATTTTTCAAATGGTTGAAAAAATTAATTGTACCAAAAAAGAATTGAAATTATAAGTCTAATCAATTTGATATGTAGTCTGATTATAAACATATTGATTTCCTTGTGCATTTTTTAGTGAATATACTAAGATAAAATTATGATAATAATCAATTGTATAATATATTATCAAATTATATATATTACTATACTTCGTAATGAGAGTATATGACAAATAACTAATAGTTGATAGTTGATTTCAGTAGTTGGTTTGACAAACTGATTTGATTAATTGATTTGAGAAATTGGTTTGATTAACTATTTATATAGAATTATTTGATAAAATTTAGCTGATAGTTGATACGAGTAAAATGACAAATAAGGGTATGATACATTTAGTTGTTAAGTACATATATGTTTTATAATACTTTAGTCTTTATTGGGGTGAAATTATTTAGATAAAATGTTTTTGACAAGGAAGTAGAAATTACTTAAGAAAATCAATGAATATTTTTAATATATTTTTTAAATTTAATATTTACAAATATTAACCCTGTGAGATTAATGCATACTATTAACTTTGTATAAAATATCAACACCACATTTTTTTTACTTTCATATTTTGCTTCATTTGCTTAACTTAAATATATTTGAGAATCTACAACTAAAAATAGAATAATAAAATAAAATTTCACTAATTCATCATTAGACATTACATAAAATTCATTTTACACAAGTTCATTGAAAATAAATTTTACATAAATATTTAAGAAAGAGATACATATCCAAACAAGTAGTAACAAATAGTTTTTATGGCAATGATGTAATTATAAAAATGATAAGGTCAAATATTTCATTTAACATCTTATTTTGCAATATACTATCCTAAATCACTGGATTTTTCGATGTTTTCATTTTCAACTTATTTTGGAAAATAATCTCTTTCAAAAAGGAGTTTACCAAACACTAAAAATAGAGAGTTTAACTACTAATCAACTATTTATACTCAAATAAACTAAAAGCTCTTCAAAAATATTTTTGACAAACACCCCCAATATATTTATGTGATCATCTAATCACAAAAAATATAATTTAATTGTATAAATTATTATAAATTTGTTAGTGCTTATATTAACCGATTTTTATTTTTTTTTGCTTAATTTTATAATGGTATCTTTTTTTTTATTATTATTGACAACACACATTTTACAAATGAATCTAACATCTTAAAGGAAACAAAATTTTCTTTAACCAGTTAGGCTGTCCAATGAATTTAATTTTATAATTATATCTAAATTCATAACTATTATAATTCTCATATAATATTTAATGTTATATCAAAATCCTTTCCTTAGAAAAATGAAAAATCTGGTATTGTGTGGTAGTTGTAAGTGTGTGGTGTTTAAAAATTCAAACCAATCCTATTAAAAAAAAAGACAATCTGTTTTTTCAAATATTGAATCTCTCCACCACAAAATTCACAATTTTTTTTCTTCTGTTTTTTTTGGCTATTAACATATTGAATTTGTGGTGATCTTGTAGTCATCTTTCACTCTCACATTCAATGCTGCATTATTGAAGTTGAATTTAAATATCTCGAAATTCCTTTATATTCGGGAACGGCATAAATGACTTTAGAATGTTTGTTTGGCTCTGAATGAAATTATTTAGTGTTGAATGTTGAACTGTTAAACATTTAGTGTGTTTGTTTCTCACATCTGAATGATTCAGTGCTGACTGATTCAACAAAACAGTGATGAATGATTCAGCATCAAAGTATATTCTGAATGATTCAAATCCATTATCAAACAACATGTCACATTCAGAGTTAATTCATACAGAATATCTGAATCATTCGACGCTTAATAATTTTAAAGTAAACAAACAACCCCTTCATTAACTTATTTTTTTTAAGAAAAAAAAAAAAAAACAAAGTACTTAAATAATAATAATAATAATAATAATAATAATGAGAATGGTAGTAATTCATAAGATAATGGTCACTACTTTAGTTGATGCGTTTTACACGTACAACTGGAGGAAATTAAACAGTTTTCGTTAAGATATTTTATTTAAAAAAGTAGGGCCAAATAAAGCCGGAAACGCGTGGGGTAACAACAGTCGAATATGATATAAGGTATAATTGTAGAATAACCTCAACGTTTTTTCAATTATATTTTGAGGTCACTCTGTCGATTTAAATTATAAAGTTTTAATTTTTTTTTAAATAATGATTTTTAGAGTAAACTAAATTAATGATTTCTTTTATTTTTGGTCTATCTTATTTTAACTGTCTGTTCAAAAAAATTAAAATTTAGTCGCTTTCATTTTTCATATATTTTATTTTGGTCGATGGGACGCTATTTCTCAATTTGTTAATTGTCATTTTAATGAATAGTTTTTCCAATATTAGAGGAAGAAAATAAATAATTAAAAAAAATGGTATGAGATATCATTGCCCCGTTACGATCAACGAACACAACAATATGAAGCAGGAATTTAGTAGATATTTCATTTACAAAGTTTAACAAATCAATTACTAGACGTTTGGCAAAACCAGAAAGAGTGTAGTTCACATATATCAGTTGTCAATGCTATAATCAAAAATTGATGTTCGTGATATCCTAGCTGTAAGTGAGTTTAAAGCACGCCGGTAGTACGGTAAATCAATTATGTTATAAAGTCATAAGATATTAAAAGTGTTACGGAAATAAAAATATATATTATTAAAGTTATATTTATAATTTGATAAGGGGCGTAATTATAAGTATAAAAATAACTGATTCTTAAATCAACTATATAAAGAGTTATGGTATCAAGAAATATATAATCTTATAGTTTTTCTTATCCCATCAAAGAGTTTATACTCAATAAAATTCTATATTTTTGGGATATCACAATCAAAGAAAGATTTAAGAATTTCAACTTATCGATTAATTCAGGTACGCTTATGCATTTAGTATTTTACTCCTGATGATTTCACATTATTACATCCTGATTAATTTTTATATTTATTATAGTTTGGTTCTAACAAAAATATCTTAATAAAATATACCATATTTTGCAATAAATAGATCCAAAATTAAATTTACGTCGATAATATATTTTTATGCAATATAACACTACATATTTTAAATGACTATGAATTATGAACTAATGTCAATTAGACAATGTAGATAAAGAGATGACTAACCAAAAAGGAAAGAAATGATTGAGGATAAACTAAAATATTTAATTAAAACACACGAGAGAAGTATTCAACCTTGTACATCAAAAAGTGTAAAACATATGAGTTATATACAAGTTTTTGTGAGAAAATGAAATGAGAAGGAATATATATATATATATATATATATATATATATATATATATATATATATATATATATATATATATATGTTTGGCTACATAAAGGTTCTCACAAAGCTTGTTATTGATTATGAAAGAAAAATATAATTTATTACGTAGGGTGAGCGTTCGATCAAGTTGAATAAAAAAATTTGAGTTTTTCGAGTTGACGAATCCTATTTTACAATTCGGATTTAATTTAAAAAAATTTCATGGTGATCTGATTTGAGAATAAACAAACTCTGCAAAATGTGTTTCTCATTAACCATGGTTTTTCTAGAGCTGTCATTGGTTTCTTTTCATGCCTATTTATGTCTCGGCCTGGACTGGAATCTTTGCTATTTTGCTTATGAAATCACAAGAATGCATTGTTTCAGTAGTACGTTTTTGTGAGAACGTGGTGCGAAAAAACAATTCAACATGAAAATTTGACACATCTACTAATTTGTTAAAAAAAAAAGACAAAAAGGCATTAGAGGCCCTTAAGCTTTTAAAAGAAATATCAATATGACCTTCATCCTTTTTTTATCAATGTGACCCTCTAATTTTAAAAAAGAACCCAATATAATCTTTTGACCAACTATTTTCGTTATTGATCAATGATTTTGTTAATTCCTGCTGTTATAAATTGGGTACATTACACTAATCATCCCTAAGCTATTTTCTTCTCTTCTATTTTGGTTACTAAACTCTAACAGTTTTTAATTTCGAAAACTTTAGAGACTTCAGATACTAAGGCTGTAGTTAACCCATTTAACTTTAAGGGTAAACGACACAAATGATCACTTTTGTTTCAGGATAAATTATCAATCAAGGTCTTGTAAACCCAAAATAATTCAATAATAAAATATCAATTTACCCCCTTTTTCCATATGTTTTCTCCCCCAAACTATCTTCTCCGCCGCACCGCTTCCCCTGCTTCTCATTTAATTGTCGTTCTCGTGGTTGCGTTCTAAATCGGAGTTTTTAGATTTATCCATCAATGGCGGAGACTGAGACGTTTGCTTTTCAGGCTGAGATTAACCAGCTTCTTAGTTTGATTATCAACACTTTCTACAGCAACAAGGAGATCTTTCTTCGTGAGCTCATCAGTAACTCCTCCAATGTAAGTTTTTCTCTTCATTTTGTTCGTTTGTAATACTAATCCAATCTGTTTCTGCTTTGATGTAACAAATATTGTTTATTTATTTATTTATTTATTTAAATGAAAGAAACTTGGAATCTCCTTTTTCTTGTTCTGACATATGTTTTTGTGATATAAATACGCAGATGGTTGTGTATTGATTGTTGTTGTTTCAATTAAAAGAGATTTCAATGTGGATGCAGATTAGGTGAACAATTTGGATACCATTGTAAAGTCCGGGACCAAGGAATTCATGGAGGCACCGGCCACCGGTGCTGATGTTAGCATGATTGGACAATTCGGTGTTGGCTTTTAATCGGCTTACTCGATTGCCAAGAAAGTTGTTGTTACCACAAAGCACAACGATGATGAGCAGTATGTGTGGGAGTCCCAAGTTACTGGATCGTTCACTGTCACCAGGGATACCTCTGGGGAGAGATTTGGTAGGTATACTAAGATGACCTTTTTCTTGGAGGAACACCAGCTCAAGTACCTCGAGGAGCGCCGCCTCAAGGACTTGATTAAAAAGCACTCTGAGTTCATTAGCTATCCTATTTCCCTGTGGATTGAGAAGACTGTCGAGAAAGAGATTTCCGACGATGAGGATGAGGATGATAAGAAGGATGAAGAAGGTAAAGTCGAGGAGGTAGATGAGGAAAATGAAAAGGAAGAGGAGAAAAATATCAAAACGGGAGACATTAAATAATTGAGTGATGAATGGTGGAATTTACCCAATCTAAATAGCAATAATATGGAGCTGGGTTGTTTGACGTGTTACGTCAGAATAAAATAACACAACCGTTAGTCGACTATAGAAAATATTAATCAAAGGGTCATATTTAATTTTTTTTTGAGTTGAACGGTCACATTAAATTATTTTTATAAAAAGTTATTAATTTTATTAAAAATAAAAAAATATAAAATTACAATAAAGATTTATCAGTATAATGTAAACATAAATAAAATTATAATTATTATATTTTTCTAGAACTATTAACATAAAAATTAGCTACCTATATCAAACAAACCAAAATAAATATACAAACAAATATGATTGCATCGTCAAACGAACTACAAAAGGAGATGAAGCTATTGAAGGTCACTGTCAATCGCAAATCAGAGTTAAGCTACGTGAAAAACTATCTATGAACGCAAAACGAGTATCTAAATTAATTCGAAGGTCCAAAGCAGGAAAGATATCATCGCGCAGTCAAATCTAACTCTAAAAAAATAAACGAAAAAACAACAAAAAAACTGTAAACTATCAAAAAACAAAAAAAATATGTCACTACGACAGAGATAAACGTGTCACAAAGACAGAAAATATGTCACAAAGACATAGTTATTCTTATTAAAAATAAAAAAATAACGATTAACAATCAGCATCAAAACTGATGTTATCACTGATTAAATAAAATTAAAGAAAAAAAAATTGAATTGATTAATAAAATTTACATAAATTATTAAAAAAAGGAAAGAGGAGAAAGAAACGGTCATATTGATTTCTTTTTAAAGCTAAGGCCCAAGGCCCTCTCATATCTTTTTTGACTTCAAAAATCTATATAACACAAATATATATAACAAATCAGATTTTATATAAATGTAAAAGAAACTTAAAAATCAAACGAATACAAATCTATTTTTTTACCTCGTCATCCATAAATTTACGCACATCGACTTAGTTTTACCATTCCTTTCGCTGGGAATTTGGAACGACGACAAGTCAATCCAAATAATTACTCTTTCTTTTAATGAAAAAAAGGGAAATCTGGAAGTTTCATGATCCTTAAAAGCATTCAATCAATATGGATCCTCCAGATGGCTAAAACAACGATCCTTTTTTTTTATTAAAAGAAAGAGTAATTATTAAACCATAGCGTTTTGAAAGACTGTTTGAGATCTGATTTGAAGGATTTAGTTCTTATCGAGAACATTACCTTTGATAGAAAAGTATGAAGACTTAAGATCAAGATAGTTGAGTAGTGTGAGTCACATCCATAGGGTATATCATCTATGTCTTCTTATAATGCCTTTGTAGTAAGTCTTATGACTTCTACTTTTTATACGTTTATGTTATTGGAATTTATGAAGACTTAGAACTAGGGTAGCGGAGTAGTTGTTGTCTTATTTTAGATTTTAACACATTTGACTTTATTCCTTCTAGTATCTTGCTATCGTTTGACTTTTGTGTATCATTCTCTTAATGTTTTTTTTTTAAATTTAGTCTGGTCTGACGTTTCGGTCTATATGCAGAGATTTTTACGCATGGATTTATTTGCAGAGATTTCTTCCAATTACAGACGAGCATATGAAAAATGCATATAAATATTGTTCAACTATGTATTTATTTATTTATACATGCATTGTATTTTATCTTTATTTTTAATTTTCTGACTGTCACATGTCTTTCACGAAAGCTACTCTCAACCTGACGTTGGAGGCAGCCTACTATTCTACATCCTCTTACCCCCATTGCATATGAGAATAATTTTTTTTTTTATTGTTGTTGTTGATGTTGGTCTAGAGGACCATTTGGAAGTTTTACCAGGATAAGTCCCTGGCTAACGTTAAACCATTCTTTTGAAGCCTCCAGAATGCTCTTATTTTTTAGTAGAGTACACAGATAGTCCTCCAAATATGGATAGTTGTTTTATTAAGTTATTATATTATAAAAAGATAAAATAATTTTTAACTACATGAGTCACTTTATTAAATTATCTAATTATTAAAAGTTATAAAATAATTTTGACTGTTATTTGTGTTGGACATTAACTTGTTGATTGAAATTAAATAAAATCTTATCTAAAAATTATTTGAGCTGTATTTTGTGAATAAACTATCTATTTATATTATGTCATCGTGTCAATGCTTGAAAACAACGAATCAACAATGATGTGCATGGACATCATTAAAAAATAATTTTATCATACTACAATCAACAAATTAACATCTAACTTAGGTGATCATCAATTTTTAATAGAAGATAACGATTTTAAAACATGAATATTAGTGACCATTTTGTAACTTACAAAAAATGTCTAATAATTAATAGATCATTTTATATTTTTTAATAATTAAGGAACTAAATAAAGGAGCGCTCTATAATTGAAGACCATTTATATACTTCACCCTTTATTTTTATCTCACCTCTTACCTTATTTTATTCCCGAAGCTTCCCCCTCAGTCACGCTCGTTTTCTTCGATTATTACATTGCTTGCTCACTTGCTCCATCTACCTCGCTAGATTCTTTGATTAAAAATGGACGAGGATTTCGATTTCCCGGCGGCGGACGACATGATGAACGATGATATGGATCTTTCCGTCGGCACTCCCGCTTTGAAAGTCGGAGAAGAGAAGGAGATCGGAAAGCAAGGCTTGAAGAAGAAGCTTGTCAATGAAGGTGAAGGTTGGAACTTCCCCGAAATAGGGGACGAAGTTGAAGGTATGGATAAATTGTACTAATAAAAAAACAAGTAAACAAGAAAGTAATGAAAGGATTAAAAGATGTTCCGGATTCTGACTGGTTGTTAATTTTCGCAGTTCATTATACGGGGACTTTGCTGGATGGAACTCAGTTCGACTCCAGCCGTGACAGAGGCACTCCTTTTAAGTTCACTCTCGGTCAAGGTAAACGAAGATAAGCTTTTTTCTATTTTGGAATTTTAATTCCTGCTGTGCATTGACTTCTAGGGGGGGGGAATGGTGAGCTTAATCTTGGAGGTAGAGTTTGATTTATTGCCTTTCAGTATTGGAGCCAATAATCCGAAGCAATATTTTATATTATAAATAATTAACTCGAGCCTTAATTTAACCTATTAATTAAGCTTGTTTTGATCCCTTTTTTTTCTTGGAAATTGTGTGTTTATGAGATATAATCTCCTGTTTGGCTGTTTTCCTGCTTGTGTAGCTTTACAATGCCAATATTTTTTTTAAAATTTACCTTATTTGGAATGTAATAAAGCCATTTCTTTGAATCTTCATTATTTGTTCAATTTTGATATTGTGATACCGGTTCATTGCCTTTTATGGTAGATAATTGGTTCTATAGTTGTTGTTGTATTTTTTGGTCTTTTGGTGTTAATATTTGAGGGGTTCGACCTCAGTAATTTTTAAGTTCCTGCTCGGTATTGGACTTCTAGGTAATCTTCTTTTGAAATGAGAAACTAAGGGGAAATGGCAGTGCACTTTTAATATGGTATTTCTGCTTTCCCTTTTATGTTTGTAGGACAAGTTATTGAAGGATGGGACGAAGGTATTAAGACAATGAAGAAAGCTGAAAATGCTATTTTCACCATTCCTCCTGAGCTAGCATATGGTGCGTCTGGCTCGCCACCAACCATTCCCTCGAATGCAACCCTCCAATTTGATGTTGAGTTGTTATCTTGGACAAGTGTCAAGGACATCTGCAAAGATGGTGGGTTATTTAAAAAGATAGTTACCGAAGGAGAGAAATGGGAGAATCCGAAGGACCTTGATGAAGTGCTAGGTACATGTCATGATGATCTGTTCCTTCTTTTGATAGTTGTATTAAGGATATTATACCAAGAGGAGTGTCTGTTTTGAGTTAGCAAGGTTTAATAATGGATTTGTGTCTCAAACACAGTTAACTATGAAGCTAAACTCGAGGATGGCACAGTGATGGCAAAAGCTGATGGCATAGAGTTTACTGTTAAGGATGGTTTGTATTGACCATGCCATTTTTCTACTTCTTATTTCCCTCCTGTTATGTCACCTGTAAATCCTAAAGCACCTGTTTTTTTTCTTCTTCTTCCATGAACAGGACTATTCTGTCCTGCATTGTCAAGAGCAGTTAAGACAATGAAGAAGGGGGAGAAGGTACTTCTTACAGTGAAGCCACAATGTGAGTTTTCTCTTTATTCACTTAACATGAAGGTAAATGTTATCTGTTCTTGTTCTGATTTTTGAGGCTACTTTTTTTACTATGATAAAGATGGCTTTGGCGAGAAAGGAAAGCCTGCCACTGGTGCTGAAGGTGCAGTGCCTGCAAATGCCACACTCCTGATTACTTTGGAGTTGGTTTCATGGAAAACTGTGACTGAGGTAACTGATGACAAGAAGGTCATTAAGAAGATCCTGAAGGAAGGAGAAGGATATGAGCGCCCAAATGAGGGGGCTGTTGTCCAAGGTTGATATTGAACGTTAAGAGGAAATTTCAGTTTTACTGAATTCAGAACAATTTATATTAAATATATTTCTGTACACGTTTTGGCAGTGAAACTGATCGGGAAACTGCAAGATGGTACCATCTTCTTGAAGAAGGGCCAGAATGAAGGAGAAGAATTGTTCGAGTTCAAGATAGATGAAGGTAAGATAAGCCTTACTTCTGCCCTCCATTCTATTGACTTCATGATTTTAGCTGAAGAATGCTTGGATTTTTCTTTTACAGAGCAAGTCATTGATGGTCTCGATAGAGCTTTGATGACTATGAAAAAAGGTGAAGTAGCACTGTTGACTGTTGCACCTGAGTATGCTTATGGGTTATCAGAGTCACAGCAGGAGTTGGCTACAATACCCCCAAACTCTTATGTATACTATGAAGTTGAATTGGTGTCATTTGTCAAGGTTAGTGGAGCGGTGTGCATGTTATGATTTAGATTCGTTGTTGTGTATTTGTAAGATATCTTGGAGATTTGTTACAAGTGGTTTTGATGAGTCACATTTTTCAGGAAAAAGAATCATGGGATCTGAACACCCAAGAAAAAATTGAAGCTGCGGGTAAAAAGAAGGAAGAAGGAAATGTGTTGTTCAAGGCTGGCAAATACGTGAGAGCTTTGAAGAGATATGAGAAGGTATGCAGTGAGATGTGCTTGTTCCCTGTAAGAGCTTCAGTTCCTGCTTTCCTATAGCCTATCATTTGTTGTTCGTATGTGCAGGCTGTTAAGTATATCGAACATGATTCATCCTTTGGTGAAGATGAGAAAAAGCAGGCCAAGGCATTAAAGGTTGCTTGCAATCTGAACAATGCTGCTTGTAAACTGAAACTGAAGGATTACAAGCAGGCTGATAAGTTGTGCACCAAGGTTGGAATAATCTTACATGACTGCGATCATAATTTTTAGTTGGATCATATAGCAATGTTAACTTGGGCATTCATGCACATGCAGGTTTTAGAATTAGAAAGTACCAACGTGAAAGCCCTGTATAGAAGGGCCCAAGCATACATCCAACTGGCGGATTTGGATTTGGCAGAGTTTGATATTAAGAAAGCACTTGAGCATGATCCCAATAATAGGTAACTTGCCATAACAAGCTCTTGCACCTTTCCAGAGCTCCGACTCGTGAACTCAATTGTTGAGAAAAAGAAAATGTATTTTCCCCATCTGCTGTTCTCCGTCTTCTATGACTTTGTTTGATATCATCAGGGAGGTGAAGCTTGAATACAAAGTTCTGAAAGAGAAGATGAAGGAATACAACAAGAAGGAAGCCAAATTCTACGGCAACATGTTTGCAAAGATGAATAAAGTGGATTCAGCTGATTCGAGCGTAAGTGCCTGAGTTGCCTATATAAATGTTGTGCAGCATCTTTGACGATTATTGGTATTGATATGGATGTTTCAAATGGGCAGAAATTCGGTGCTAAGGAAGGCGAACCGATGAGTATAGATAGCAAGGCATAGGCGGAGGAGATGTGGCTTAACCAGTGAGTTGATGCCTAGTTTTTTTCTATGGTCTTTACTGCTTGTGTTTTTATTTGGGAAGTTGAGCTGTAGTGGAGTCGTGTCTATGATTCTGTTTATCGGTGAAGTATTTTCAGTGTAAGGAGAGAACTGCCCAAAAGATCTACTAAAACATTACTTTAAGCTAATACTAAAATAATCGAAGTTACCTTTAATCTTCCGGAGGATCTTAAGATCAAATCTGAATGCAGCAAAAGTAATGTTCATTAATGGGCCAACTATGATCAAAATCAAAGCCACTGAGTTTGATTAGCATCCTTATCAAATGAACTTCCAAATTGAAAACTTATAGTTCGCATAAAAGGTCAAATTACAAAGTCTCCTCTATTGTCTATAAATTTTGTTCAAGTTTTAAATTCAATTACACGTGTTTGCTTTTATGTACGGTTTCTTACTATTATTTGATTTTTAGTTTAAGTTTCTTTTTATTTATAACTTTTAAATTTTATTTATTTAAATATCTTTTAGATCTCGTGTTGCCTTTTTTAAAGTTCACTAATATATATATATATATATATATATATATATATCTGTATGTATTTTCCTATAGGTGGAAATTTACCTACAATTGATATATTTTATAAGGAATATTGAAACATCAAGTTTAACTAAATTAAAAATATGTACGAATATTAATCATTATTATTTTTTATAATAATCATACTAAAACTCTAAAATTTAAAGTCGATGAAAATTTTGATATCAATTAGAATGTGGTACCAATTCTTTCATAAATTATTTTTATAAATTTGTGTCCGTGTATCATAATACGGTTATTTTTGTCATTTACTTGTTTACTTTGAAAATATCAAAATCTACTGAAATAAAAATAAAAATAAAAATAAACATGTTAGAGATGGAAATAGAAATTTATGTTGGGGTGTAAAATTTTAAAAAATGTGAATTTAAATAATCAATTAGCCGCCTCTCCTTCTTTAAACCTAGTTTTCTTTCACTATTTTTGTCTTTTTATTCTTTCCTATTGATTTTTGTTTAGCCTAAGACGACACTATTCTTATTGTTAGCTATCAACTGTAGGTGATTATTAGTTCTTTTATTTTTTTATATTATGTCTTTAATATTTTTTGTTTGAGTCTTTTTAATTTTGAATAAGATTTTGTCTTTGTGCCACACGTTTTCTCTATTCTTGTGACACGATCCTCATTGTTGTGAGTACGTTTTTCGCATATTCTGCGGTCATTTTGATTCTTGTACAAAAATTATCACGACATTTAAATTCTGGTTGGTTAGTATGTGGTTAGGTATATATTCTTTTATCATTTGTTGCGGAGACTCGGGTGGCTTTGCACTATTGTTTTTCCTTTGGGGGAATTAAGGGTTTGGTTAGCACATGCATTTCAGGGTTTGATCAAGACTTCTTTTTCTTTTTACCAAAAACCCTAAGATCAACATTCGCATAATGCTCGAAGCATTAGAGTGGTTTATATGATACCAAGGCACTGTTGAAAAGAATAATGATAATGGTGGTAGTACCCTCTACCACATAATACCGGCACAATCAAAAAAAAAGTATTCTTATCTAATTTTAAAGGACGTTGACCTGTTAATTTGGAATAGAATACGAAAATGTTCGTATCATTTTTGTATTTTTAAGTTAAGCAATTTCACACAAATTATACTTTCTAAGTGACCCATAAATGTTCCGGGTCAACTTCAATAATGGTTAAAGAGATGTTACGAGAATTTAGAGTTTAAATTGATATTTTTTATGAAATTTAACAATCATGTTAAAAATTAATCATGTCAAATAATATATCAAGTAATAAAAAACAAGAATTTTTGAATACATTTTTTTGTTTTACACTACCAATTTGATCTATCGAGCCAATATTTTTTAATTCGAGCGGCTTAACCGGATAAATATTTAACCCAATTCTTACAATCATTGGTACCAATAGAAAAACTGGGTAAGGTTTGAACTTTATCTGACAGTTTTTTCAGAAATTGCAAAGTTAAAAAAAATGAAATGCCAATGAATTGCAAAGTTTTTTCAGAACTTTATCTAGTCAAACGTTGACGCGTGTCACTGTGGTTGAATAATTTTATTTTTGTTTTACTCGAATAATAACACGTGTCGCCGTCTAGTTTGAGCAAAAACCTGTTCCTAAGAAAGGTGCAAGAAATTATACTATGCTCACCTTTGTCATTGAGTCGTACTCAACATTTTGGCAAGTGATACACATACAATAGTATATATTTTATACTAAAGTTAATGTCAGGAAAAAAGAAAAGAAAAAAGGGCATGAAAAATATTTGAACCTAGGCGACTTAAAAAAAAACTAGGAGCACTGCCCCATTCAGTAATCTTACATTTAGGTAACAATTAGATAAATATTATATTTTTAATATTAGTTTACACAAGATTAAAAAATAAAATTTAAAATTTGTATAACTTTTAAACTACATTTAAGATTTATTTTTCATATTTATAATTTAACGATTTTATATAATTTTAAATTGAGATTTTTATTTTAACTAATAACTTTATTATTATTAAAAATATATATATACTAAAATATAAGTGTACGAATAAAGTATTTCTGTCAAATGATTATATATAATCTTAGATTTTTTTTATTAAAAGTTATTTTCTCCGTACATTTTAGTTTTTTTTAATATTTAAAATATATTATATTTTATTTTAAAATTAAATATATATTTATATATTTATATCCTATTTCAAGTCATTTATTATTAAATATCAATAGTAAATAATTTTATTAACATCATTCAAATAATTAAATAATTTGACTGAAAAATTAAGAGCTGTGCTTAAAGTGAAAATAGTGCAATGATAATGGATATTCATTATCTAAAATCAATTAGTCCGTACACGCGTCGCAAATGATTTGGTTTAAACTTTTCAGCGACAAAAAACTGTCACGTGAACATATTTCCGTCGCTAATTATTTTACAAAACCCAACACGTAAAACAAGAACACAGCTCCAAAAGCATCTTTACTTGTAATTAAAAAAAAGAAAAAAAAAATTATCTGCTATAGACTCTTTGAATTAAATAAAGTGAAAATTACAATTTAAGCTGTAAATTAAATATATATATATATATATATATATATATGAGAGGTGGTAAAAGTTGTCATTTGAATTTGAGGTACTTGTACTTATTTTAATCATTTTTCATAAATTTCAAAGATGGAACCTTTAAATAAATAAATTTGTGAGAATCTCAGCACTGTCGACCTGGGATTCTTTTTATGCAGAGGGTGGCTATAACTTCTAATCTTTTGTTTATGCTTGACAGCCTTGACTTCAATTGTTTTTATTTTTTGTCATCGTACCAATACAGGTCGAACACTTGTCTTTGGTGGGTGAGTCTCACAGTTGGGATTTTATGCATACACAAGTATTCAAACCTAAGACCTTGCTTAAGCGATCAAGCTACTTACCACTTGAAATAATCCCGTTGGTATACTTTATAATATTTGATAAAAGTATGTTTTTATATAAATAATTTTTTTATTTTGTAATATCCCAAATTTTGACTAGTGACCAAAATATAAATTTTGAAAGTTTAGTGGTAAAAAGTATAAAGTTGAGAAAAGTTTAAGGACTAAAATGATAATTTTACAAAAAAATTATTCCATAAATAAATAATTCACTCCCGGAAGGACTTTTTGTGGGAATCATATTTTTAATCCGATAAATCAAATCGAATAGAAATTTTAAGAAATTTTGAAGGATGATAAATCAAGATTAACCAATTCTCTTTCATCCTATTATAATTGATGAAGAACCAGAAGATACTAGTTAAAATACCAAGGGCCTTCATCCCAAATCCTCTCAACATCAACCTCATGAATAATCGAAACAGAAATAGTCGATCCTTTAATTCAGTGATCGAAACACCCCCAGATGGATGCCAGACATTGGTCATCATTGCCTGAAAATTAATATTACCCATAGTGATAAAACGACCCACTAAGCAGTGCTCAAAAGAGATCAATGAAGTTATTGTCGTATTATCAAGTTGGAGAACTTCTTCCTCCTCTGCTCCCATATCCAAATTCTCTAACTTCTCAGTTAAATCACCCATCGCTTACCCTACTTCTTCGGTCCAAACACCCAAAGTCCTTCAAAACTAATTATACAAGAGATTAAAAAGAACCAAACAGATCAGACGGCCGAAAAATCCTAATAATGGATTGATAGAAAAACCCTAATAATGGGTATAAGTAAAAGGTTTTTTATGAGTATTTGAATTTTGAATTGTTGTGAGAATCTGAAATACAAGACTAAAAATTGTTTAGAATTCAAAATTTAGCTGTCAAATGACAAAATTTTATTCTTCTTTGACATTTTGAGAATAGACGTAAAATAAAAAATTTCTTATAATTGAGAATCTAAAAATTTATAAAATTGTAGTTGACCCCATCTCAGCTCTAATTACATTTTTTTTGTTGTTGTTAAAGATAGAGGGTAAACTATGTATTTAGTCATCTATCTATTCCTATGGTTACAGTTTGATCACTCAACTAATTTTTTTCGAAATCATATTTAATATTATGTTTCGATCGCCTGTCACTAAATAAATAAATAAATAAATTGATGTGACAATTTTTACACTTTTTCAATGATTACGTAGCATTTTCTTATGTTAACACGCATCACCGTTATTTTTTTAACAATATGTGACAAAAATGGAATCAAAATATAAGATTAGATATAATTATAGACACGAAATAGCTAGATGATCAAAACGGAACCACAAGAATAAGTGGCTGATTAATAATGTAGTTTACCCAAAAATAAAAATTATTGCCCTCAAACCAACAATTACAGCTGGTTAACACCATAGTCTTAGTAAAGGATCAAATCCACAAGATTGCGCCATCTCACCCCAAAATCACAACATCTTGTTCGATTCCAACATTGTGTCTCAACATGAACCGCAGAGGCGTAGACACCAGCCAATGAAGTTTTTGTTTAATGATACCGACAAATTTAATTTTTTTTTTTTTAGAATTTCAGATTAGATTCTTATAATATAGTCATCACAATCATAATTGCAGGCTACGAAATATTTGAAATTAGCATCAATTAATATATTATATCTTACAAATGTGGGTGCTTTTTGCTAATAAGATGATTGCACCAGACTTGACCAAATTTTACATCGGATAATTCGGCAAGGAAAAATACTCCACAAATGATAAAATTAGAAAGAAGACAAAATCATGGACAAACCCCAAAAAGATAAAAGGTAAAAAAAAGGTAAAAAAGAGCAAAGAATCCTGCCTTTCTTAACCTAAGCATCGTGGTAGTTCTCATGCACCTGCTCCATTTTTAAATTTCTTGTATATACACCAGCCCTTTTGTCCTTGGTTTGGAGAATGAATGGTTACTGCTAGAGCTCAACTTTCATCTGGCCTGAGCCTGTATTAAAAACAACAATAGTTTAACACAAAAACAACGTCAAAAAATATTTTAATGCTCAAGGAAATTACTTTTTTCTTACCCCGGAAATTCTCCGCCCTGCTTTGATTTTGGCCGGTCCCATTTCTACTATGGATTGCAGGTCACCCTCACAGAATGTTAGGTACTGCAAACATAATCGTGCAAAGCTTTAGATTTTTTTACTGTTAAATTAAAGGATCAAACATGCTTAAACATTATAGTTAAAAAAACTGTAAAATTCGAATGAAAGGGGTAAAATCTTCACTGTGGAAAAAGAAATTACCGGAGGGGGAAATGGGTCCCCTAAGGATTGGGTCATTGTCCCATGCGGTGCTGGATTTGGCAGGGTCGGGCGTCCAAATATGGGTGATGCCGAGGAATCCATTGGGAATATTTGATGTGTCAAACACTTGTTGTTTGATTGAAATACCTGCAAAAAAAAAAAAAAGGTAAATCCTCCTCATTTCAAAGATCTGAGCTAATTTTATATATAAATTTTTAATGACTTACATCCTTTGGCATTAAACCATCCACGTTAAAATCCACCCCGGTATTCACTGAAGCTAACTTCATCGAAAGAAACTGCCAATAAAATATTATTCATAAAGTAAAAAAACTCAAAAAAAAAAAAAAAGAACTTCCATCCTGAGAAATTGAAGCTCCTCACGTTCATCCATAAAGTTTAATCTTTTTTTACCTCAACTTGACGCTGCAATGATTGAACGTAGTTTATGATTTCATCCAGCATTAAGGCTTTTCCGGTTACCTACAAGTTGGAAAATTCGAACACCGTCATGTTTTAGAACTACGGTGATAATTTTTATTTCCTTTGACTACTTTTTTGAATAAATTCCAGACCTTGTTGCAACCGGGAACAATATTTTGCAGGAGCTTCATTCTCTCACTGATTTTCTCTCTTCGGACCTAATGAAGTGAAAGATTATATAGAGTCGATGTGAAATGCTTTGAATTGAGGGGAGAAAAAAAACTGGGTTTTTACGACTCTTACTCGTTCGGCTAAACTGTGGCTGTCAGTGGCTTGGCCCCTTCTTGCTCTAACGTGAATGTAGTCTTTGGGAGGCTCAGGAGGTTTTGTGTTTGCATTTCCTTTTGATTCTTCCTCTGTTTTGACTGAACCATTTTGGTTCCCGTTGCTCTCTGTAGTCTTGCATCGCTTCTCCTTTGTTTCTTCGTTTTGTTCGGTTGTCTGGAAATTTGATACATTAGTGGAACAATTTTTGTATGGAATCTATGGTTTGGGAATCTGTTTACCTTCGATGGAGATGTTGAATTCTGATTTGTTTTTGCTTCGGGAACTGTTTTTCTTTTCCTTGAATTCGTCCTTTTCGAAGATTTGAAACCAGGATCGCCATTGGTAATGGAGGATTCCTCTTGAGAACTGTCTAACTCGGATCGATCCTGCAATGGGGTATTACTACTCTTGTAACCAATTTGAGACGCCGCCATTGCCTTTAGAGAAGGACTACTGGAAACACGAGGTCGCTTGGCATTTGACGACGATGGATTATTAGATCTGTAACCAGAGATTTCATTATAATTGTTTTTGAGTCCGAGTTGACTCGTCCGGCCGTTGAAACTCCGGCTTCTGGAGCAAGAGAATTTCGCCGCTCTCTCTGCAAATCCAGGATCGGCCGAGAAATCCGCCACACTGGAATTCATCCCCATCGATTTTCCCAAACCGGGAAGCTTCTCCGTTACCGTACCGTCCATCACCGGCAAGTTCAATTTAGGAGGAGAATTCAACGGGGTGCTGTAAAAAGAAGTGTTGGTGCTGTTGTTTCCATTGATGTAAGAAGAAGAAGACGCCATTAAAGGGTGCCGGGAGATGTCGCCGGAGTTTTCGATGCTCCCCTGTTTGCCCAGAAATTCCCCGAACATGAATATGTCGTTGGAGGTATTGAAACCCGATGCCGCCGGAGAAGAAACCATCGAACTCAGTGCCGACTCGACCTGTAGACCGTAATCCGATGAATTCAGCTCAGGTGCTTGAATTTTAATGGCTGAAAATAGGGACTGCCCGAAGCCCAATGGCGGTCCGAGCGGTGGGATTCCTTGAGCACTAAAAAAAAACTGGTTTTCCATTTGATTAAAAAAGCTAGTTCAATGTGAAAATCCAGATAAAGAATCGGCTTAATTGTTTGATATTTAAGTTTGGGTTCTATATTTTCCATGAAATGATTGAATCTTTTATAGAAGCAAAAGGTGATTCCAAGGAAAATGTGGGAACTCTCTCGTGATGCGGCCTAATATACGGTTAATTAAATACGTTATTGAAAATATTATTTTATTAATATTTTTGATAAAATTTTATTTAAAATTTTATTATTTTTATAAAAATATTATTATTAAATATTTTACCGAAAATGTTTAACATATCTAATATATTTTTTCTACCGAATATATTAATATTAGACAATTTAACGAAAATATTTAAAAATATTAATATTTTAAGTAAAAATAATAATATTTTAAATAATTTTTATCAAAATTATTAAAATAATAATAATATTTTTAATTACACATTTCTTTGATCATATATTAAAAATATCATGTCATAACTACCCCAAAAAAATTAAAGAGAAAAAGGCAATCAAATGGAAGACTTAAGTCGGCCTGCAATGGACTTATAAACTGAAATACTTACTATTTTTTAAATAAAAAACAATAATACATACTTTACGGTAAAGTACATAAATGGACATCAAATTATGTCGATTTAATCCTTTTGGGCAATAAACATTTAAAATTTATATAACAATCATTAAACTTAACTAATTATTATAAAATAATCATTTATATTACAAAATAATAATAAATTTAAGGATCACTTTATAATAATTTAATAAATTTAAATAATTATTTATAATAATTTGGTAAATAATTTTTTATTTTGTAAATTTTAAAACTTCAACGATTAGAGAAAAAAGTTATATTACATAATTGAATAATTATCCATATAATTTATTTTGTTTTTGTATAGAAGTAATAAGTAATATAGAGGGTTTTTATATGTCAATTTTAATTTTATAACGGTAAAGCATGTTTAAGCAAAGTAATTAATTATAACAACAACAATAATAATATTTTCCGCCGTAAAAGGCGGAGGAGGGCGTATCGGCGGACCTTAAACGTCAAAGCACCAAAATGTCGTATCCCCTCTCTTGAAATCCTCAATCCAACCCGCTCCCCCATGAATTCTCTCCAAACTCTCCCGGTCCTTTTTCTTTCACTTTTTTTTACCCAACCAATTCCGAGGATTTGCCCTAACTTATTCGGATTGACTCACGTAACACACTTGATTTTAGTCGATAAATCTCCCAACATTGATTTTATGCATACACAATAACTCGAACTTGAGAAATTGCTTAACTGATATCAAACTGCTTACAACTTGAACCAACCTTTATTGCTTTTTTTTCACTTTAAAGTTATCTAAATTTAATCCAAATAATAACTCACCATTCACCAAATTATAATATTGTCTCTTTAAAATTTTTGGTTCAAACAATTTCATTTATAAAATATATGTGTTTATTTTCAATTAATTTAAAAAAACAAATATAAACTATCTTATAATTAATGTGGATTAATAAAAACATTAAATTTAATAGATATACTTATATAATTTTATAGTCAAATTTCAGTATCGTTTCCGCTAGTGATTTACAATTTCACTCTAAACAAAAAATAATTTAAATTAATTTCTAGACTTTGGCCATATAAATAAAGCAAATTATATGTTATCTATGTCGCAACCGTCTTTCAGTTGAGCCCCGGAATTGGGCTTCGACTTAGGAAAATGTGGATTGGAGTCGCCACCGATCATTTATTTAAAAATAAATGGGTTGATCGGATACCCTATTTCTTACCTGATCTGCGTCTTACCAGAGATGTGTCGGATTCGGGGGTCGGTTACAGTCAAGGAAGGGCTAGCACCCTTGAACTGCCCTTTCGGTACTGTGTAATTTCCAGTTGTCTTTAATTAAGAAAATTGAAAGTTAAATTAAAAGGTAAAATATTGATCCAAATTGCTTACCACTGATTGTTTGAAGTTCTCTCAAAAAGCCAAGAAAAGAGTTAGGTAATGAAAGTAATAAAATAGAAAAATAAGGCGAACAAACGAAATAATATATAAAAAAACAATGTATACAAAAAAAAAGAATGAAATATGACTAAATATAAAATAAAATATGCAAAGGAAAAAAACGAAAATACAAATAAAGAAAAAGAAGAAAAATATAATAAAATATAAATGGATAAAAAAATACACATAATAAAATAAAATATAAAGCAATGAAAATGAAAAAAAGAAAAAAAATATGCGTAATATACATATAATAAAAATAACAATTATAATAGTAAAAATAGTAATGAAATAATAATGATGAAAATACTAAATAAAATATATATATGTAGAATATAAAAAACATAACAGATATATAGAAATAAAGAGTAAAAAATGAGTAATACATATACGTATATAATAATAAAAAATATAATATAACAGCATAAATAAATAAATAATAATAATAGTAAAAAGTAAAAGGGGAAATAAATAAAATAAAAATGGAATAAATAATTAATGAATGAAACAAGAAATATATATATGTTAAAGTATTAAAAAGGAAAAATATCAATAATAGGTAAAATGAATATATCTATATATATATATATATGTATATACATATGTAAATACAAAAAAAATAAAATGTTAATAGAAATATAATTATAAGATGTAGTAGCTAGATAAAGAAAAAAAAGTTAATTAAAATAATATATATGTATTAACACTAAGTATAGATGAAATATATAGAAAATACGTATATATATATATAATTACATGATATAGAATAAATAAAAAAGGTTAGTATAAGTATTAAATTGAATCAAAAACAAGTTAAGTGGCTAAATTGAAAGAAAATCAGAATTAGAGACCAATTCAAAAGCAAATTCGGGTCAAAATAACTCTTTAAAAGCTGCGAGGGACCAAAAGGGTAGTTTACCCCATTTTCTTTAAAAACACGCAGGTTCTGGGGCGTATATGTGTCAAAATCTGGGCTTAAAAATTTTATTTCTTTCCTCTTTCAAATGAATGCTTCCCCTTTTCTCTCTCGCCTATTCTTCATATATGAAGAACACGGCGGGTTTCCAGAATCCGGCAACCATACACCGCCTCGCCGCCGCCGTTGAACGGCGACAGCCACCGTTCATCGGCGGCAAAACCTAAAAAAATTTGGTTTTTCTGAAAGCCCTTCTCTCCCTCGACTCAAATCTCAAACCGGTTTTTTGAGATAGGCCTCGGGGGAGGATAGATCTGAGATCAAAATCTCGATCCTTCCCCTAAAAGTTCATCGGCCAAAACAGTTTTTTTTGGTATTTTCCGAGATAGGAACAACAAAACAACAAGCATGCAAGCCTCAAAACGTACACGGTATAGACTTTACCTTCTGTTGCTTTCGAGAATCTTGAAAAAATGTTTCAATATCAACCCAATATTGCTCGTAGTTTTTGTGTAATTTATGTTTTGTATTCTCTATCCCCTTCGTTGATTTACAAACACATATTTATAGCCTAGAATCTATTCTATTTTTGGGATAGAGTTCTAATAAAACTAATATTCTTGGCTTGTTGGTTGTCTGTTGAGCGAAACGACCGGCGTGGAGCGTTTTCAACGGAGGTTGTTGCATGAGAAACGAGCGGCCATGAAACTCGGACGTTGGGATGTGCTGCAGCGCAGATGAGAGATATAGCTTGCTAGGGTTCTGTAAACCCTAGTCTGAACCAGTCCGTTGGGCCATCTGGGCTGCTGAAGACGGGCCATTACGTTGTAAAGGCCTGTTGCAGAAATAAAATACATATGAATGTATCAGTTTAATAAAATAATAATACTTATATAATATATATATAAATATATAATATAAAATATATGTTTTTTTCGGTCAAGAAAAGTGTCTACAGCTGCCCCTCTTTGCCCATAGTCGTGTAACGGGATATGGCAAAGATTAAAAGACACACTTCTCGTCTATATCGAATGTCCTCCGTCATAGACTTGAAATTCGATGTTACGACTGAAATATGAGATGACTCCCTCGTCATGAAGTTGGGTCCATCTGTTTGTGAAGCTAAGTCTGGGCACTGGATATCCTTCGTCGTGAAGTTGAAATCCAAGTGAGTAGTATTGTCCCGAGTCCAATATCCTCCACCGTGAAGTTGAAACTAGCTCTAAATTGAGAATGTTTGTTGACAACCAGTGGTCCCTTCGTCGTGAGGTTGAACTTGCGTTGTCTGGAGTCCAATATCCTTCGTTGTGAAGTTGAAATTGGCTCTGAATTTGAGAAATGTTTGTTGACAACCAGCGGTCCCTTCGTCGTGAAGTTGAACTTGCGTTGTCTGGAGTCCAATATCCTTCGTTGTGAAGTTGAAATTGGCTCTGAATTTGAGAAATGTTTGTTGACAACCAGCGGTCCTTCGTCGTGAAGCTGAACTTGCGTTGTCTGAAGTCCAATATCCTTCGTTGTGAAGTTGAAATTGGCTCTGAATTTGAGAAATGTTTGTTGACAACCAGCGGTCCCTTCGTCGTGAAGTTGAACTTACGTTGTCTGGAGTCCAATATCTTTCGTTGTGAAGTTGAAATTGGCTCTGAAATTGAGAAATGTTTGTTGATAACCAGCGGTCCCTTCGTCGTGAAGTTGAACTTACGTTGTCTGGAGTCCAATATCCTTCGTTGTGAAGTTGAAATTGGCTCTGAATTTGAGAAATGTTTGTTGACAACCAGCGGTCCCTTCGTCGTGAAGTTGAACTTGCGTTGTCTGGAGTCCAATATCCTTCGTTGTGAAGTTGAAATTGGCTCTGAATTTGAGAAATGTTTGTTGACAACCAGCGGTCCCTTCGTCGTGAAGCTGAACTTGCGTTGTCTGGAGTCCAATATCCTTCGTTGTGAAGTTGAAATTGGCTCTGAATTTGAGAAATGTTTGTTGACAACCAGCGGTCCCTTCGTCGTGAAGTTGAACTTACGTTGTCTGGAGTCCAATATCTTTCGTTGTGAAGTTGAAATTGGCTCTGAAATTGAGAAATGTTTGTTGACAACCAGCGGTCCCTTCGTCGTGAAGTTGAACTTACGTTGTCTGGAGTCCAATATCCTTCGTTGTGAAGTTGAAATTGGCTCTGAATTTGAGAAATGTTTGTTGACAACCAGC